AGAAAGAAAGAAAGAAAGAAAGAAAGAAAGAAAGAAAGAAAGAAAGAAAGAAAGAAAGAAAGAAAGAATAAACATCACAGGAAGCCTTTCATAGTGACTTCACTAATCAATAAATCTACTTATTAGCCTGTATTAGCCTATATAGCTTGGGATGTCCGCTTATTCATTTCCAATCCAGCTTACAGATAAAAATCTAATAATAAATGAAAGCTTTTCAGCAACCTGATAGTCACCTAATGAACTAAGCCATAAGCATCATCTATTCTTCAATTTTGCCAGTCATTATATATACAGTGAAAATTGTTATAAAGATAGATGACAGATTTTTTTTAAAAAAATGACCATGAAAATCTGAAACTATTCTCCCAGGTCATATTTAAATTAACTCTGATATTTTTGCATTTTTTCCACTTCACACTATGTATTGTCTCTGACCTAAAATGAAAGTTGAGGTCTTCAATTATATCACTATAAAGAATAAAAATGGTTAAACAGAATGTAAAAGAGAAAGAATGCAAAAAAACCTAAATATAAATGTAAATCAAATCAATTTAAATATAAGCATCACTAGCTAGGAAAGTTCAATTATTTAAATCACAATGTACTCACTTATCAAGAATTCTATAATCACTGTTTTAGTTATTTGATACAATTTGAATTTTATTTAGAATGAAGAAATAAAATAAGAAAATAGTGTAGATTTCATTTTTACAACATAAGGTCTTAAGAATATCCCTGCTACTTCAAGCTGAGGCCAATCTTAGTCCAGGAGTTTATTTTTCACAATGGCCAATTTCAATTGGCTATACTGCTCTTCTTGCAATTTATATATGACTAAACCACTTCTGTAACATTGTCAATAAAACTGCCCATATCCTATTTCATAGCCTGTCTTGTGTTATACATATAACAGAATATATATATATTTCATATCTCACTCTTTGAGAATCTTTTCAATATCTTCCAACAGAACTTTCTGTGTTTCCCAGAACGTCAATCTAAAGGTCCCTGCAAGTTTCTTAACATTTTTTGGAACTGATTTGTCATTGCCTTCTAACACAGAGAAAAAGTCATTGGCCCAAAAACACCCATCTAGCTTTGTGTCTGAAGTAGGAGTTGAATTCCCAGTCTCCTGGTTCTTAACATAGTGCCTTAACCAGTACTCAACTGGTTCTCCATATGTTACATGTGTATAAAAACACATACAAACTTAGGAATCCTGAGGTTTCCTACATAAACTTCATAATTGGTGGGACATGGGCAACAGTACATTGGCTTGCAAAATATTATTTAGAATAGACATCCTAGCTTGCATATTACAATGTAAGCATGTTTGGATAAAACTGAATTTTGGTTGTTTTTATGGCAAATAGGCCATAAAATTATTGGTAAGGACACAATACCAATGCTAATGGCATTGTGTTCTTACCCTTAACAAAGAATGTTGTATGAGGTATGGCTAGAGGTAAGGATACAAAATATGACGACTCCTAGACATATGATCATTCATTCAGTGTTTGAAGTTACAACAAGCACTTAATGGAGATTATGACCAATCCTCAGAATTCCAGACACCCTAGTCCCCCGATGCCCACATGATTGCAAGCTGGGTTCTTGGTGATGGTTCACACGATCAGTTACCAAGTGCCACACAATCACCATTTGCAAATGTCCATGCTGGCTTCCCCAGAAAGTGAAATAGGAAGTGAGCAAGTCACTGAAGTAAGTCCCACACGCACATCCTCCTCCAGCCCTTCTATGCTCACGCCATACATGCTGCACCTACTAACCTGTATGGTGCTTCACACGTAACACCTCACAACCTCCCAGACCCGTCCAGTCACCTCTTGCACATCCTTCCCAATCAATTCCCTCTTGTGCGCACACCCTCACTTCCTCTCCAACTTGTATGGCACTTCTCATGCCCCCCCCCCTTGACCTACGTGGTGCATCTTATGTGTCCCTGTACACCCTCCAACACACACTACATCTTTAAGATTAAGAGCATTTCACAGCAAATTTTATATCTGATTTTACATTCTTGCCTATCTTAAATGATATCAGAACATACACTACAAAACCAGAAGCATATTATTCAATCTCCTAAAGACATACTTTAATAATCTCTATTCATCTCCCTCATCCTTTGCACAGGTTCCTTCTCCTCCTTCAGATGTATCACAGAATTGATATTTTACTGGTATCTGCACTTTTAGAGAAAGCAATTGTCAAATTTCTTTTTCAGTTCCATATTAATAAGCAGATAATAATGAAAACCTCCCAAGTCAAACTGAACTCCTGATGCACATATCTGTGTTGCTTTCTTGGCAGTGGTTGCTGCTGCTTTAATGCCTGTTCCCTACTATGATATTATGCCATTATATGTATCTGCCATTATAGAACTTAGACGCTGGCGCTGGCTAGGCCATANTAGCCTGCAGTGCTGCATTTAACCACTGCGCCACCTCGGCTCTCTTGTTGAACATTCTGGTCACCCTCTCTTCAAAGAAACTTAAATTCTCAAGAGCTTTAAAAATTAGTAACCAAAATATTGAAGGAATCTGGTATGTTTCCTTTCTGACCAAATTTTCTTTTAAAAAAAAATGCAGCACAAAAACATTTTTAGTCGAACTAAGAATACTACAATAAAATAGAAAGAACTATTATAAAGAAACTGCATAGGATTTCTTCATTCCCATAACATTAAAACTGAAGATTGCTGGTGTAACGGATAGCTATAAATACAAAATAAAACGCACAATTTAACAAACGAAAAAGGCTTTACAATCCGATATTAAAGTCAAATATATATGAGAGCAGGTCTATCAGTGGTTATACAATGACTAACCAAAACTGTCACATCAAAAGGGAAAATGTAGAAAAAGCAGGAACAACAAAAGCAGTGATAGCAATGGCTTTTTTACTTTGTTTATGGCCTTTCTAAAATCATCTGATTTTGGTGAGTAAGAAGCAATGCCAGGTGAAACTACAACACCCTAATATTTGCAAGTAAGGAAGGAGGGTATTTGGACCTTCGCTACTGGCTGTTAATTCTAATCACTACATGAAATATTTTTGTATTCTGCACATCTCATAATCCTCTTGAGAATCTTTCTTTACATGGGAACTGGGTTTTTCTCAATCATAACAATAAATTAAAAGCCCATTACACCTTTTGAAGTAATTTAAGCAAACATGTATGGCTAAATTTTTTTCAATACATTCCAGAAAAACTCCAACATTTAACATATCAGAAGAGCAACTGCTAATGACAGATGTATCAAAAATTCTATACGTCAAACTTTTTGAACACACCAATTTCAAGAAAATACGTTTATATAAATACCTTGGGGGCTTTCTCTATCTCCACAAGACACATCCTGCAATTTCCAGCCACAGACAATCTGTCATGATAGCAAAAGCGAGGAATTTGCATTCCAACCTTTTCACAGGCCTAGAGATGAAACAAAATGAGAGAATATTAAGGTGTAAGTTTTATTTGTATGCTTTTCTACAAAAAAACATTCCTAAATGTAGTTTTATTTGCTTTCATTTTTTGCAGTTGGCTTGCAGTAATAAATTCAATCTTCTATCAAAAACACAACCACAATAGAAAAAGTTTCAGCAGACACTCTAAACTTTAGAATGTACTAGAGTAGGCTTTTATACTGCTGTCCTCACTTTAGATATTAATATCAAATAATTGTCAAATGATTCAAAGTGCAGATTGTACACAAAGACAGAATAAATAGTACACTATATACTTAGCTTGTGCAAGATCGCAAACTGATTACTAACAATAACATAGCACAGTTGCCAAATGAGTCACTGGAACATCTGTCAAAATTGTCATGTGCCAGTAACGAAAAACTGAATTGAAAAAGTAGTTGAAAATGAGCAAGTTAAAATACTCTGTGACTTCTGAATATAAACTAATATCCCACCAGGTTTAACTGTGGTTGAAAAGAAGAAAGCGTGGATAATTCATGTAGCAATACTAGGAGATAGTAGACTAGAATCAAACAATTGGAGAAGATCACAAAGTATCAAGATTGGAAAACTTGTTGAAATATTACAGCAAAACTGACAATGATAGTCCCAATGGTTTGGCAGCATACCAAAAAATCTTGGACAGCACTTTAAAAATCTGCACTTTAACAAAATTTCCATTGCCTTTTGTCAACTAAACATATACTACACTGACACATTATGAAATCCTAGGTTCTTGAGAACAATCAATGCATATAAAGGCCAATAACATCTAAAGAATTGGCTAATGTGATCTCTCTCTCTCTCTCTCTCTCTCTCTCACACACACACACACACTCACACACACACACACACACACACACACACAGAGTCAGGGAAGCTATTAGAATTTCCTTGATTGTCTTTTCTGTGCTTTGTTTTTTTTCAGTACTAAGAGTTCTGTACAATACAGAGAAACAAAAATCTGTTGCTTAAGACGATAGCTTTGCATGAACACTTAAGTTCATTCAAAATGTCAGACTATAGAATTAAATGCTCAATCGGGATTTATATAAAATCTGCAGAGTGAGTGAGTGTGTGTGTGTGTGTGTGTAAAGAAATTTACTGCGTGACATTATTGCCAAGAAAACTACATGACAGTATAGGTGAATCACCAGATTGCTTGGCCTGACTCAAAGGGGAGTTTATTTTTTGTTGCTCTCTTTACTCAATTCTCACCTAGGTTCAGAGAAGAGATGCAACTGTGGATGGGACTGCATAATATTCCCCTCCTGCAGATCAGCCATGAAAGAAGCTGCTTTATCTCTTTTGCTGTATTAAAGCAACTGTGCTTTCTCCTTATTTGTAGAAGTGACAAAACAAAAATAAAAACTAAAGATAAAGAACAATTGAAAATAAAATTTGCAAGAAGTTTAGAGAAAGAATATGGGACAAAGAAAAAGAGAAACTAGTAAAAATAAAATAACAACTCGGCTCATGAATGTTGCTGAATGTTTAAATGCAACATCAAAAACTCCTCAAAATATGCAGAAGAGAGTCTTTACTACTTCCTTTCTTAGACATATACATGAAAAATGTTGAAGTCAAAGTTGATTTACAAACATGTTTACTTCTAATAATTCTCTATATCGAGAAATACATTTTTTGCATAATATGCCTATCCATTTAAAAATTACAAAACATTTTTTTCACTATAAAACTAATTTTATTCTCTCATACAAATTACAGTTTAAAATGATGTGAAAATTCACATGCACATTAAATCATAAATCATAATTTATTATTTGCCCAACAAAGTAAAACAGAACAAGAATTCACTTATGCTAGCACAATGTGTAAATCCAGCAACATCAAAACATTGTTTGAATCACAAGGACCAAGTTTTAAAGCAATAGATATTCTTTCCTATGTGCCTTCCAATAATTATACCATATATTATGTTTCATTAATATTAAAGCTACACAGTGGCTTGGAATAATCAAATGGCATAAATAAAACCTGTTTGAAATATGCTTGGAGAGTATTGGCTGATGATGTAAAGGTATAAACAAGCATATTTACTTTGTACTAAATTATCTATCTAATTAACATAAGTTTATTGAAAGACTAGAGGGTAGCAGTATCAAGTATTTTTTCCCAGCAGATTAATACAGATTAATCACTTATGCAGAGATACTCCTAAATGATGCTAAGAGGAAATAAGTAAATAAGAACTACCAATTCCAGATTTATAGTACTATCTGTTAAGATATTAGGAGCCTCATACCTTTCTTTAAAAAGCCTATAATTTTTCAAGGTAATTATAGTAAAGTAACACAACATTTGCCTCCTTTACAATAAAAATGAAGGGTAAGAGTCACAGTTACCTAGGCATAGTTATTTCCTGAAAATGGAACAATTTAGAGCAAGAGAAAAAAGTATTCCTTGATATCATTTGCTTACTCTTTTCATTTAAGAATAATTTTAGTGTTGTCTTAGTAAGAAACTTTAGATGTGAAAGGTGAATATTTTATGGAATATTTGAAAGACAGATTACTTAAGAACAAAAGGCAAGAACTGTCAAGCAGGGGCATTACCAACCAGATGGGGACTACAGAAAATATTTCATTGGAAAGTTGGGAAATATCCCAAAAAAGGCAATTTTTCCGTAATGTTGGCAAAATACCATTTCCATACTGTGCTATTAACAACAAAAGAATGAAATAAATGGAGATGCCCATGACATCAAGAGCCAAGCTCAGCTTGAAGTTTTAACTTTAACCTACTTTAATAAAATGGACCACTATAAAAGAAGATTAATTTTAACTAAATCAGTAACTTTCAATCTACACTAACTTGAAACAATAGNAAAAAAAAATCTAAATACAAGTCTAACTGCTATTGCTATTGCTATTGGTTCTAGTAAGAATCATAACTGAATATAAAAAAGGATCACTATTCATCTGAACAAATGATGAATATTGTCTCCTTAATCTGATCCAACTTTCCTGCAAACAAGTCTACTTATGCTGTGCCTGGTAAAGCACGTTTATAATTTTATTACATACTGATATATGGGTTTCCCCTAATCACAAAGCATATTATAGTCTGTTGGTGTGCCCAGCAGTTACCTGATGCAGCGAGTACATTGTATACACCGGGTCATGATGGTTTTTACAAGAGGACCAATGTTCTTGTCTTCAACTGCACGTTTGCCCTCCAGAAATCTGCTCCTATCGCTGCCAAACATCATTGACTGATCCTAAAGGTAATTAACAAAAGCAAAAACCAGCTCATGTGGCTGAGAAACAGATTTCTTCAAATAGGATTTGAAATAAATATCTTCGGGAATCAGTACCTGAAGGTCGCATTCCCCTCCTTGATCACAAATCGGACAGTCCAATGGATGGTTAGCCAACAAGAACTCCATGACGCCTTCTCTGTTGTAGATCCATGTTTAAAAACAAAAATGATTTCAATGTGATAGTTAATACTAAAACATTGGAAAATTATACGAAACACAAATAAATGTATTTACTATTGCTAACAACAGTATATCCTCGTCCTCTTAAAAACTGAATTTTCCTTTTTTTAAAGGAGAATGAAAAAGGAGAAATCCAATTCTCTGAAATTATTCTACTACATTAAGAATATACAAGGGCAGCCCTTTCATGTAAGCAAGCAGACAACAACTGCTTGTAGTAAGAGGTAGCTTACCTTGCTTTCCTGGACTTCTCAGAATTTGTCAGGATGTTCCAACCCTTCATGACTGGCATGGCACAAGCAGCAACCGGCTGCAACCATTACAAGGATATTTCACTAATGAATCTGTGAACATACTGTATATGCTTACACAACGTCAGTGTTATAACATACTGGTGCTTTATGGCCAATATTCTGTATTAACTCCACCATGCTATCAGATTTGAATATTTAGCAATAGCAATAGCAATAGCAGTTAGACTTATATACNCGGTGAGATTTGAACAGCCGAACTGCAGAACTGCAGTCAGCTGAAGTAGCCTGCAGTGCTGCATTTAACCACTGCGCCACCTCGGCTCTTATTGCTACAGAAATGCATGAAACCAAAGTTGAACACCTCATAGAATGCATATGGGTCAATATAAAGGAAAAAAGAAGAATGACATGGCCATAGGTGTATATTATAGACCACCCAATCAAGCAGAAAAAAATAGATGTCCTTTTTGCCAATCAACTAACAAAACTATGTAGGAAATATACTACAATAGTAATATGGGACTTCAATTACCCTGATATCAATTGGAAAACTAATTCTGCACCAAGTGAGAAATCAAATAGGTTCCTAACCATCCTAGCTAACAACTTTGTTGTTCAAAAGGTAGAGAAGGGAACTAGAGCGACAGCCATACTGGACTTAATTCTTACAAACCGAGAAGAAGTGATAGAGGGAGTTGAAACTGCATGAACCTTAGGTGAGAGTGACCTTGTCATACTATAATTCAACATAACGCAAACACAAGCAACAGAACATAATGATACCAGAATCTTAGATTTTTAAAAAAGCTGATTTTAATAAACTCAGAACTTGGGAAAGATTCCTTGGATGAAACTCCAAGAAAAAAAAAAATCATGAATCTTGGGAAACTGAAAAGTATGATCATAAAAACCCAGACCAGCACAATACCACTGAGAAGGAAAAACAAGAAATCCAAGAAGAAACCAGCATGGCTGCACAAAGATCTCTCTGACGAATTGAGAGACAAAAAGGACAAGTACAAAAAATGGAAAGAGGGACACACAACTAAGGCAGAATATTAGCAGATAGCCAGAATCTGCAAAGATGGTCAGGAAAGCGAAGGCTCAGAATGAACAAAGACTTTCAACAAAAGTCGAAGATAATAAAGGTTTCTTCCAATATATAAATAACAAAAGAAAAAAATCAAGGTAACAGTTGGTCCACTAAAGAGAAAAGATGGCAAGGAAGTAACAGGCAACAGAGAGAAAGCAGAGCTGCTTAACTCATTCTTCGCATTGGTCTTCACACAAAAAGAAACTATAGGCCAGCCTACCAAAAACATAACTGTAAAAGACAGACTAGAAATAAAAGTTAAAATAAGCAGAAAAATAGTAAGACAACACTGTCTGATCTTGATTAGATTAGATTAGATTTGTTTTATTTATATGCCGCCCTATTCCCTACAGGGACTCAGGGCGGCGAACAACTCAAGTGGGAAAGGGAACACACAAATACAAGACAAGCATTTAAAAATAGCCAACAACCACACCTGTCGAGAGGGGAAGGGAGCTCATCAGCCCCAGGCCTGCCGACACAGCCAGGTTTTAACGGCTTTTCGGAAGGTAAGGAGAGAGATGAGGGTCCGAATCTCTGTGGGGAGTTCGTTCCAAAGGGCCGGAG